TGGGTGGATTGCTTGAGTCCAGGAATTTGAGACCAGCCTGGGCAATATGGTGAGACCCCATCTCTACAAAAAATATGAAAATTAGCCAGGCATGGTAGTGCACACCTGTAGTCCCAGCTACTTGGGAAACTGAGGTAGGAGAATCACTTGAACCACGGAGGTCGAGGCCACAGTGAGCCGTGATTGTGCCACTGCACTCCAGCCTGGGTGACAGAGCGAGACCCTGTCTCACAACAACAAAAAAACCCAAAAAACCCGCCAAAAAACCTATTGGTTTTCACCAAAGATCTTAATCTAGATTCTTAGATCCTAAAGAATATATCTTTATCACTGATGACCACCATTAAAAAAAAAATAGTTTTATGATGGGGAAACTGAGTCACTGGACATCAAACAATTAGAACCAGACACAAGTCTGATCACTTTTTTTTTTTTTTTGAGACGGAGTCTCGCTCCGTCACCCAGGCTGGAGTGCAGTGGCGCAATCTCGGCTCACTCCAAGCTCTGCCTCCCGAGTTGACGCCATTCTCCTGCCTCAGCCTCCCGAGTCGTTGGGACTACAGGCGCTCGCCACCACGCCCGGCTAATTATTTTGTATTTTTTAGTAGAGACGGGGTTTTGCCATGTTAGCCTCGGCCTCCCGAAGTGCTAGGATTACAGGCATGAGCGACTGCCCGCGGCGAGTCCGATCATTTCTAAACCACCTTCTGAAAATCTGGTATTTGCCATCCAGTCCTAACTGGATGTCTAGCACATGGTGACGGTGTGTCCGGGTACAGAGGTCACCTTCCAGGTGGATCCTGCACCCACCATCACTCTCACCCTCTCCACTCCCTCAAGGGGTGTCCAGCCCTCCATGGCTCACACCCTCAGCACAGCAATTCAACCCTTGGATGGTGTTCCTGGCAATGAAAGTTGCCTTCTCTCTAAGCATGACCCTGAAGCCTTCCAGCCTCTGCTCATGGCTGTCCCCTGTAATCAGCCCCTTCACTGCGGGACGGCCACCCACGCAGGGTCTGCAGAGCTTCTCTCTGAGGTAGTAGCTGATTGCTGTGCCTGGCTTCTCACAAGCTCTGGATGTCCAGCCAGTGATTCTGGGGAGAGGGGTGCCTGGTAAAGGGGGACCCCCACCAGCACTTCACTCTGTGTTTACTGCCCTTCCCACCTAAGGAACCCTGAACCATCAATGTCTCCTCCAAACCCAGTCCCAGTGCCCGACCAAGGAAAGGCCCTGATCCTGAGCCTGGCTAGTGACTGCAAGATCCTTGGCCTCTCCCCAGCTCTGTGAGGCTCCTGGGGCCAGCCTGGGCCAAGGCTCCAGATGTGGCAGCTGCCTCCATGGGAACCAGCTCTTAGGAGCCAGCCAGGCTGGAGTGTCCTATACCTTGTGGCCCCAGTACATGTTTCTAGAAGCCTTCCTATCTCTCCCTGATCTTTGACTCTTACTATGACCCCGCATGGTGCTGGGCCTGGCAGAGTCCAGTGGTTAAATGCTGGGACTTCATGCGTCAGTTTTCTCTTCTGTGAAATGGAGATAACACCATACCTGATACAGCAGTGTTAGGATTCAATGAGAAAAAATGCATAAAGCAATTAGCACAGCACCTGGCACATAGTAGATGCTCCATAAATGAAGCAGGTACCGCCCCTGCTCTCTATCCTGCCAACAAACGCCTGTGCCAATAGCAGTCTTGGGATGACAGGGCACATTTTCCCTCTACATATGCAAATTCCTCAGATGATGTAAAAGTTGTGAATTTTGAGGCCCTGAAGCAATTTCTGATGCAGCTTTGCTGGGAACATCCCCATTTCCTCTTGGGATACCGCCCCCCACACCCCTGGGAACCCCACCTCCACTGACCTGCACATGCTGGACTTCCGGGAGCTGGAGCTGCTGGGTGATGAGGGTGGGGTCTGGTAGGACCAGCTGTAGTCCGAGCCCTTTAGGTCTTTGATTACCTGGACAGGGACATGGATGGGGGTCACTGGAGGCAGCTCCTCAGAGCTAGTAGGGCCAGAGGCCCCCACTCTCTTCCCAGTTGGGTCTTCTCCCCAGAAGAAGACCCAGGAGTCTGAAGCCCCCTCCCCCTGGCTTTTCCTAATGTGGGGAGCAGGGAGACACCGGGGGACACAGCCTTCTTAGAGCCCCTTCAGCTCACACACACAGAGTACAGATTCCGAGCCCAGCCTGGGCTGGGCGAGTGACCCTGACACCATGGGGTGCAGGTTGCTCCTGCGCCTCTCTGAGTTTGCTTTCTCCTGTGAATCGGGGCCACCTGTTCCTGTCTTAGAGCGGAAGATACCCTGAGATAACTTGGCAGATGCTGGGCATGCAACAAGTGCCCCCGGAGCGTGCTGCCCACCTGCTGTGGGGCAGGACTGGTCTGAGTGCAGTGGGAGCAGGGTTGGGGTGGGGTGGCCAGGTATGCCTGGGTCTAGGGGAGAGGATGGGGTTTCCGGGCATGAAGGGACGTGGGGCATCTCCAGGTTCGGCAGGTAGGCCGCCCAGGTGGAACAGGGCAGGCAGACTCTGGGCCTGGCTCCATGGATCCAGGACTTCACCCATCTACTCTGAGTCTGAGAATGCTGCTGGCCAGGGCAGACCCCCCCCAACCCCGGCAGGTGCTCCGGGATGGCCTGCAGTGGGTGTTAGAAGGGGTCTGGTCTTATGCCCCTAGCTGCCTCCCCCAAATGCCATCCTCTTTTCCCCTCTACTGCTCCCAACCTAGGGCAGCCCATCTCCTCCCTGCCCCTGGCCCTTAGCCCGAGGGCTCCCACACCTGCTCGCTGGCGGGAGGCAGTTTGTGGGGTTCCGCCGTCAGCACCACCAAGTCGTCGATGATGCCCTGCAGGTGGGTGATCTCTCCCAGCATGGTCAGCTCTCCATTCTGAGGAAGCAGCGAGTCAGACCTGCGGCCCTGTTGCATACCTGCCCACCTCCCCACCCGCCCTGGAGAAGCAGCAGGCCTTGTCGGGCCTCTCCTCTCTCACCCTTCCTCGCTAACCAGTGCTGCTTGGGGCTGGTGCAGGCAGGGCCCACACAGCCCAGATGGCTGGTATGATGGTCTGTCCAGACCAAATCAGTGCATGGTGAGCTATGAGACCTGCCTTTGGGCCAGGAGCATGTGGCCTTGATGCCCCCAGCCAGGAACTGTTGAGAAGTGACCCTTCTTGGAGGTCAGAAGGTCAACCCTGGGCCCAGCCCACCCCTCTGGGGTCTGAGTCCCCAGGAGCCCCACCACCACAGGCTGCAGGAAGGTGATGAAGGTGCAGAAGCGGCCCCGCTCCTCAATCAGCGCCCGGCGCACGGCCTGCTTCTCCGTCTCCTCCAGCAGCAGGTACATGTCGTTGACGTCCTGCAGGGCACTGTCCAGCTGGGGCTGCAGGTCTCCTTTCCCTGGAGGGGTGGGGAGGAGAGGCCTTGCTGGGGATGCCAGCCTGGCTTGCCACACCCACGAATGGACTCAGACCCTGGTGGTGGCATCTCTCGGCCGTTGGGCTGGGTGCTGCCCTGGGGCCATGGGACTGGGGAGGGCAGTGAGGACTCTGGGGCTTGTGGGAGGGCTAGTCCCACCAAAGCAGGAAGAGACGCCAGACACACACACAAGAAAGAGGCTAAAGCTGCAAAGCCACTCCGGATCGGGACATCTCCATGGAGGCTCTTGGTGCCCAGGAGCTCTGCCAACACGGAGCCTCACTGGCCTCCACCTGGGGTACCCTCACTGTCCCAGCATGGTGCCCCTCACCTCACAAGGTCCAGGGAGGTGGGGCAGAAGCAGGACAAGGGGGAGTGTGGGGCTCAGCTGCAGGTCAGGCCATGGAGGGGCGGGGTCCAGGAGAGCTAGGGCTGGGCCTTAGAGGCAGGGAAGGGGTCTGTGTGGGTTCCCACTCAGCTCAGAGAGCAGAGCACACAGACAGCAACAGCGACACAAGAAGCAGCAAGAAAGAGAGAGGCGAGAGGATGATGCAGAGGAGATGATGAGATGGCAGGTGGGGAGATGACAGGTAAGCACGCAGGCCAGCCTGGTGGGGGTGGGGCAGCCAGGGCCTGTGGCCTCCACCCCGCCCTGGCCAACCCCTCCTGGCCTGGCAGACTGACCCAGCAGTGGCCCTGGACTCATCCCTGGCCAGGGCCCCCAGGGGTCCCAGGGGGACTGTGCCCCAGGCCCCTCCCTTGTGGACCGACCGCCTTCCTCGCTTCTCCTTGGCCTGGAGAGGTTCCTTCCAATGGCCCTGAGCTGGGGGAGACAGACAAATGCAACAAGGACGGGAGGAGCAGCTGGAGGGACCGACATTTGACTTACCAAGTAGCTCTACAGGAAGGATGTGGGAGGAGAGGAGGAGAGACAGAGAAAGAAAGAATGTGTGAAAGACGCCGGATGGACAGAGCCACTCCTGGGGCGGGGGTGCCTGGGCCTCCTGCTGCCTCCCCTAGGGAGGTTCTGGACCAGATTTGGGGGGCAGGGCGGCTCCCTCTGTCCCACCCAACAGGTTGGAGGGTCCTGTGTCGGGGACAGCGCCCCTCTGGCCAGGATGAAAGCTTTAGGGGGCCCCACGGGGCGGCGGGGCTGTGGAGCGGGGCCGTGGGGCTGTGGCTGGGGGGCCATGCCGGGCACTACCTTTGCGCGCCTTCTTTTGCAGCTTGAGCGTGTCCGACGACTTCTTTTTGATCTCATGCCGGGCTCGTTTGTACTCTGCAGAGGGAGAGAGGGGAGAGCTCTAATGGGGTTCCTGCGGAGTAGGGGGTGGGAAGCTGCGAAGTGGGGGGTGGGAAGCCCGGCCCCGCACCGCCTTCGACCTTTCGCGTGGTCCTTGTCCAGCTGGTTGGCCGCCTTCTTCCAGTCCTCGATGCGCTCCTGCAGCGGGTTGATGAGGCTCTCCAGCAGTGCGCTGCGGGGGGTGGGAGGGAGCGCAGGTCAGG